AACCTAACAAAGAGCTTTCATGCAAGAATTGTTGATGATTCACATCGTGTTAACGCATGCGCTGCTTGTCCACAATATACCGCGTATAACTTCCAGTCTTTATTTAGAAATTAGTAGATTATACATGTAACAGAATCACTTCCGTGGACTGGGAACATTAAAGGTAAGAGTTACAATGTTGTCTTCCGAAGGGACAGTATAACATATATTTTTGAAATAATTGTTTGTCATTAATTTGTTTCAATGAATTGCTTATTTCGGCCTTCGGTGGTATCACAGGTTTTCATTGCAAATACATGTGTACCGACGCTTCTGCTGATAATGTTTACAGAACATATGCTGTGACTCGAACACGCACACCACAACACCTTACATTAGGCCTATGTAGCTGTTGATATAACCAATCACATGCACATTGTTATATCATGTTACACTATCCACAGGTACATATTGATCGTCGTATCAACTGCTTGAGTCAGAAAAGCATGCTAGCATTATTGCCCTAATGGGACTAAATAGTCACGCAGTATAGCCTCCTATGTACACGTTCAATACCATGTGATAAACGTCACGTAAACGTATGTTTAACGGTAGGGGCGAGTTCATATGTTTCCATCAAGTTATCCCTGTCGTTCTCTCCGCGTGTTGTGACCCACTGTCCCTATTTAACGCTTTCACATATCTAATATGTACATGTACATCGTAGGAAGTTGCGTCATCATTCAATCCCGGACCATCATCGTCCGTAGTCTGTTCATAGATGCTTACGCCCCCCCCCCCCCCTTTAAAAAAAAAACCAACAAAAAAAACCTTTCGTAATCTGCTAATATTGTATTGAATAAGGCAATTTATCATATTCATTAATTAAACACATACTCTGATTTCTTTTTATACTGATTCCCTCATCCGATGGGTGATCCGGGTTTTTTTTAGCAAAAAAAAAAGGTCCAAAACTTTTCGCCTCGCTCCGCTCCGAAAGATTTGATTCTACGCCCCCTCTTTCAAATATCCTAGAAACGCCCTTGAAAGCGAGGTACATCAAAAGTTCTAGAACTAATAGTGTGTGACATATCAACGGAGTCTTACCTCCGGATTTATTCCTACTTTCTTTCACAGGGTATGCCCCTGCCTGGGGACAGATCCATTCGACGTCTCTAGTCGATGTTAACCTGTGTTCAGATTTTGCCTTTCGTTCATCAATTGTATTTTGAATAACGCTATTGTTTACATTTCGGCATTCACTCTTCGTTTATTTCCCACACGATATATATCCAGATCAGATTCTGAGACCCACACGATATATATCCAGATCAGATTCAGAAACCCACAAATCGTTCCGTTTAATCATCAGCATAATGTAACGTGGCAGCACGATCTCAAACTGCCAGTGTTTTAAGTGCTTCCGTATCCAAATCAATATTTTCGTTTGTATTCGAATGCCAATCTCAGAGTTGATTTGTCCCCGAAAAGGAAAAAGGTGAGTACACCATTTTTTAACGTTGTTCAAGCAAACGCCGTCTGTGACAAGTCAAGAAAAGCCATCATATCTTCATATTTTAACGAATAACATCTAAACAATTCAAGACTAAAATAAACAACCGTAAACAATTTCAAATATTTACCACCGGAAATAAAGCCTAAACATTTCTTTTTATCTACCAGTACATATCATGTTATATATTTGGGGAATGAAATATGCTATATTTTTCAAACGTAATGTATACAAAGCCGGTTGATGTAGTGGATGATAAATACGGTACGATAAACCGATACCGTATACTTAACATCAACCTCGACCTTAGGTTTTACATTGTTATCCCAAATTGCACAAATTATGCGAAATCCTTCAAATTTATCCGGCTTAATATATATGCTCAGCTGAGATCGAATGACATATTAAAATTAATTCCATTAGTTGAATATTTATAATGTACATCAGCTCATCGGCATTTTTTTATCGCAATGCTTATCATCTTAAAAAATCCCCGGTTTACTGAAACGACGATCTCATATCTAACAAGGACTCAGTTGTGATAAGATATTAGTGACGATGTTTTGTTGACTTACCCTGCACTCCCTCGGCACACACACGTCAATTATTTTGTTATACTGCAATCGCTGAGGCGACAAAACCGCAGCTACGAATGTGACCTTATACATGGTGATATCTAACCAAGGGGTTACATCTGTAACCGGCATATGTCTTTTACCTGCTGGTTGGTTTGATAAGAAAGGACAGTACTGATTGTTGTCGCCAAAATGTTTTGGCCTTTCAATAGATAATATACGACAAATTTGTCTAGGCTTGTGTGTGTAATAAAGTTATCTTACCAGTGATTTGGTTTGGTCTGTTTGTGTTTTACGTCCTATTAACAGATATGGACATTTAAGGACGTGCCAGGTTTTGGTGGTGGAGGAAAGCCGAGTTCTCAGAGGAAAACCACCGATCTACGGCCAGTACTTGGCGACTACCCAACGTAGGTCTCGAACCCGCGACCCAGCGTTTGAAGGCTAGTGGAAGCAGAATGTCAGACGCCTTGGCCACCCCGGCCCCAGTGAAATGTCATATCATTGTCTTAAATTGATTAAATAACCTCCTGTTACCTTCCCTGTGTAGTTGTTCATAGCATCATCAGTATAACAAGTCATTAACACATATTATCAAAAACGTAGTAATAAGTCATTAAATATCAATTGTTTCAGATCTTAACTTTAGTCATGAAAACAAGGTTGTAAAGCTAGCCGGAGCATTTGGGTGAAAACATGTTAACATATTCAAATTGTTTAGTTATTATGATGTAAGTATTTACACACATATATATATATATATACATATATATATAAAAGAATAATGGAATGTTTACAAAACATAATTCAAACTCATCATCGATAAATATAGGGAGAAATGTGAACAGAAAGGAAAGATAAACATTGAAACACTTTCACAAATACAATGAAAATAAGACCAGGTGTTCCGAAAGGGTAAGCGTTTTCTACTTTATCTACAACACCCACCATGTACGTCTAGGTCAAATACAAGTAATTTGATGTCCTCGCATCGGGTACTCCTATAGTGACAACAAAACCGCAAGCACTCTAATGAGCATATGAAAAATATCGGTGTTCAAAGCACAACAACAAATAGTATATTTACCTGAGAGATCCTGATGGCAACAATTAAACTTTCCATAGTCTTCATCAAGCTACATCCTTGGGAGCTAGATGGCTCGTTATACGCTCAGTCAAGTGAAAGTTTGATTCGACTCTGAAGCAAATCGCTTTTTAATTGATTGTACTTGTACATAGATTTTTTTGGCTGTTGACTCAGCTGAACTTAATTATTCATTTTATGTCACAAGTGCTGATTATACAATGTATTATCATGTCATAGGTATATTGAATCTTATTTCCACACAGGAATGTTGGTACTGAGTGTAGCTGATAAGCTTGATCACATGTTCAATGTCTGACACCGGACATTTAAAAGCAGAACTAGATTAAAAAATAAAGTTTTGTTTTGATTTTGTCTCGTCACTCGACCCAGAAAGTTTCATTTCTCGATAGAGAGCGTATACACAATATACCGAATAGGTTACTGGCAGGTGTAGATCTAGCCGCTCTCCCGTTATGTCAGTATCGGGTCATACATACGACTCAGCTCGTGTCCCCTCGTCTCTGTGCATGTTTTGAGTTTTCCTAATTTTGATTGCTTGTTTAATTTTTCTCTTTTTTGTGAGTTGTTCCCTTTAGACTATTTTGGCATTTCCCAATTGACGATGTGATTGTGGATGCAAACATAATATGTTTATGCCGATTCATAATGACGGTGACGGATGTTTTGCATGTGGTTCTGGTAAAATTGGTATTGATTATTTTCTGTACGTCAGTTTGATGTTCTTTCAGACGTGGTCTTAATTTCCTCCCGGTTTCTCATGTAAATGACTGCTGACAACTGTTCAACGGAATGTGATCTATAACTCCTGTCTTTTCTTGAATGTCAGTCTTGTCTTTGTGGTGCACAAGTAATTGTCTGATCCGGGCAAACGTCTCATGTGTCCCTTTCGCGTAGGATATTGTGACCCAGCCTTAGCATTTGGTTTGGCTATCATTTTGTTTTTTCTTTTTTTTACTTTCTGTCTTTTTTTAAGCGCTCTTTTCACTTTGTTAATTGACCAGTCGGGGTAGCCACACCGGTTGATGGCGTTTTCCTCCTCGTGGGAAAATTTAACAGGCGAAACTTCCCGGGTCGAGTGACATGAGAAATACAGGTATCAGATTGGGTCATATTGTTGTACAGATAAACAATACAAATCACTCACTCAGTCATAGCTTGACAAAGGGACTAGTCGGTCTTTAAACGTTGCGACACGTTCAATACGAAAATTGTGTATAAAATAAAACTTAAATATTACTTCAAACTGATGAATCTTATTGAAAATATCCTAGTCATCATTTTGAAAAGTCAAGATCCCTACTCCCTAACCATAAAACATAAGATGTAAGCATGCTTCCAAATTAGCCCATTTTGGGGACATAGTACCAGAGTCAAAATAAAGAAAAGATTGACACTCTCACCATTTATACTTATAGACAGATTTTAACTATTTGCTACGAAAATTTCTGGGTCTTTGGGACTTAGAGGCTGTTATCAAGGAGAGAGTGATACTTCTGAGAGGGTTTAGAATCGGATAACAAATATCTAGTGAGCGATACAGGCCATAAATGTCTCTTGCTATATATTTACTCATGAATTGCCGTTCTGTTGGATTTTTAATACTTGTTTCAAAAACATAGCTATATTGTAAAATTAACAAGTTGTCATATCATTACTATTTGTTCTAGGGGCCGCGGTGGATAAGTGGTTCTGCTACCACTAGCCCTCCTACACTGGGTCGCGGGCTCGAGGCCTACGTGGGGCAGTCGCCAGGTACTGGCCGTGGGTCGGTATTTTTCTCCGGGAACTCCAGCTTTCCTCCACCACCAAAACCTGGCACGTCCTTAAATGACCAAAGCTGTTAAGGGACGTAAAACAAAACAAAACAAAAAAACAAACTAACAATTTGTTCTAATACGAATACAATGTAATGATGTTCTTTACCTTTCTTTTCTTGTACATATTGTAGGTTGTCGATGTTAAATTAATAACTCTACAAATACAAGACTAAGTATTTAGCAATGGCCGAAACCGGCAAAAGAGTGGAAGAAGATTATAAAATGTGGAAGAAAGAAAACCATCCAAACAGCAGATTTATTCCTATGGAAATGTTCAAGCTTCTGACGCATTGCACGAAAGCAGATCTAAAAAAAGATATAGTAAAAAATGGTCTTTTGAAAAAGTGTTACGATTTTAAAGAATGGGAAGAACCATTGGCACAAGACGATGCTCCGGAGGGAGTTTGGTTCGGAATAACAATGGGGAACAGTTTACTTCCATCTATATCTCCTTTCGGCACAGAACGTGTGTTGAAACCAGTAGAGAGTCTACAAACGGATCTTGGTAGCTGTAATCCGGTATTATATTTAGAAGCGATTAAATTTCGCGAAAACACTAGGAATGTTAGACTAATTCTTCTAAAAGGTGATGACGAAGAAAGTATTGATTGGTGTGAAGAGCAATGTCTTTATGAACTTGATATCCATGACAACCCATTTCTGACCATTAACATGACGGAATGCGTATGGATATGGAAAACATTGAAAAATGGACCGGAAGGAGAGAAGCCAGACACGTGGGTGGCTGTCTTTATTGCTCGTGATGTGGATGTTACTGGCTGTACGTGGGATACAGTTGAACAATACGGGTAAGAAACAAGGTATAGACGAATGCAAACTTAAAACAAGCATTTCTGTATTGTATAAAAATTGAACAGCTCATACGTGGTTATGTGTAAGATTAAAGTATATATAATGCAGAATTACATCATATACTATAACCGGAACACCCAAGGGCATACAATGGCTTACATGGCTATTTTAGAATGAATGTTGAAATCTTCCAAATTAGGTTTGATAAGAGAGCCCCAGGACCAATGGAGAGCGATTAAAACCAAATCTGTCCATTAGCTTGGGAGGATCCCCCCCTCCCCC